CCGTGTCGTAAGTTACGTTAACGTAACGTAATAATACTACTACGTCTCTACGTACGTTCGTTTACTTAGTTCTACTTCTACTAGTCAGAATTAGTTATATCTCTCTCTCTCTCTCTCTCTCTCTCTCTCTCTCTCACACACACACACACACACACACACTCATATACTCTTCTCTCTCTCTCTCTCTCTCTCACTCACACACTCACTATACTCTTCTCTCTCTCTCTCTCTCCTCTCTCTCTCTCTCTCTCACACACACACCCTCATATGCTCTCTCTCTCTCTCTCTCTCTCTCTCTCTCTCTCTCACACACACACACACTCATATACTGACGACATACCGATTACATGATGTTTTTTCTTGCCCAACAATACACTGATTGCGAGTCATGTTTTTTCTTGTTTACAGGATAAGAGAGCTTGAAGTAACTTTCAAGATGTGCAAATGATGCCTATTTCGATAAAGAAAGAGTACTTTGTATGGAAGCCAAAGTATTTTGAAAAATGCTCTTTGGATAATTAGCATTCCATTGACTCTAAATCTGACCACAATGAGAGGAAAGGTTATGCTATGATTCAGGTACAGATTAATAGTTGAAAGATCTTGTAGATTTTTAGTTGAAAAGCTATAGGAAACATTGGGAAGAAAAGGTTTGCTACCATATTTATGCAAGGAAAAAGTTAATCTAAGGTAAAAAGCTATGGCTGAATTGATCATCCTTGCCTGAACAACAAAAAATAGAAAAAGTTGATTGCAAGCCTTACAAATACTGTATTTTATAATATATTATCCGGCCTGCCCTAGATATGTGTTCATATTGGGAGCTTCAAATTTCCTATCCAGGTATAAAATTGATTTTGAGGCCATCATAGGTGTTTCTAGCATTGGAACTACATTTTCCGGAAAGATGATAAGGTGCAAATTTGCTTTTTATGGTTTTTATGGGTAAATAATTTGCTTTTTATACTAAAGCTGCAGCCTTAACATATAATTGGAGAAACCATGGAACAAGCGGTAATATTGCAAATGCTTTCCAAGCTGTAGGTAAATTCTCCTTTAAATTTTAACAAAATTATTCTAATTTTTTTATTTTCTTTTGAAGAACATGAGATTTTATCTTTCTGGTTTCATGATGCTGATTGAATCTCAGTTCGGCATTGCTTAGAAGCACTGGTGCTTTCCCATGGCTATTTCTCGTTTTGTAGAAGGGAAACCGTTGTAATAGCCTAGCTAGATAGTTCAAACAAAATGAGAATTTCCCTTTTATCCATTGGCAGTATTGACAAGGCGACTAATTGGGTTTTGCAGAGAAAAAGGAACCATTTGAGGTCTAATTATTAGAAGTATCAATAAAACATAAGGGATACCACCTCCTGCACTTTTTGCTCGTCACTTTTGCTCATCGCAATGGGAACGGTCTTTGCGCGTCACTGCAGGGTGTTCCTCTCGGGAGGATAGAAATTTATAAATTACGGAAATTTATTCAAATGTCCATGAGAGCTACGCTATTTTAATTTTAAGATGCCCATCAAAAACACGACGCATGATGATGACTTAGGAAAGATGCAAAAGTGAAATTACAAATAGTGCAACTACTGTGGGTATTTTAATAAATTTCCCTATAAATAATTATACGACAAGCGCTATGCACATATGGTCAGGGTGATGGATGCCACAACCCGACAAACATGAAAGACAGGATTATCTATCTTCTTAAACTTCAAGTATTTGAGATACACAAGGTGTTTTTAATTGAGGATTTTGGTGAGAGAAGAATTGTGTGACTTGGGAATTTATCATTGTTTACCAAAAAAAGAGGCAGGGATGCAGTGTGCACCGCTGAGCTGGGTCCACTAGACTTAGCGATGCACACCGCATTGGTCCTTCGATGTCTGGATTTAGTGAGGACCACTGCCTTCTTGGTTGGGACAGTTTTGGTCTATAAATAAACCATTTTTGGTCGGATTTAGGACTTCTTCTATAACAAACCCTATCCCTAGCCTCTCACCTTATATCCTCAAAGCTCCAGCAAACTCTAGGTAATTTAAAACCTGAATTTCATAAAACTACAGTTAAATCCTAGAGAAGTAGACAACCTTGTTCTTACCGATCAAAGCCCATGTGAAAATTCAGAGGCATTTTTTCCTTAAGAGTTCAAGAAAACTTTTGGTTCAGCAAACCTCGAAGGTGAAAGGAGGATGGATTCATCTTCAGACTGATCCAGGCCCAACTCTAGTTACTAAGCCAAATGGCCCGGCTTCTAGGTATTTAATGCCATAACCTCTTCTTTTCTTATGAGTAATGATCCTATGAGACTCTTCTACACCCATGTGTGTAGGATTCCAAAGGATTATCCTTAAATTTGGCATAGATCTCTAAAAAAATTATCACACGAGTGTGGGATTTGACTTTTCCCTATGATTTCCAAATTTCTTGAAAATCTTCTTTAAGTTTTTCCGAAAGCATTTGCTTTTTGCTTTTACATAGATCTAAGCATTTCCTTCCTTTATGAGAAAGAGGTCTATTGAGGCTAATTTCTAGGAAATCGTATTTTGAAGGACCGCTCTTTGGTGATTCCTTTAAATAATAAGTTTGGGCACAGATCGAGATGGGATCGATCTCGAGTTTGATTTCCACCTTAGGTTTGCGTGTAAACAATTGTGCACGTCGGTGAATCTACCATTAATGGATGTTTGCCAAGCGCAGTGCTAGCAAGTGAAGAGATGCCCTGCAATACCGGTGAGACCAATGCCAATAAGTCGGATAGAACTGCCGTTGACTATCAGCCACACCGCCGCTGCTTTTTGAGACCCAAGATAAAGTATTGGGGAGCTCAATGGCAAAATCCATGACCATAAAGAAGTATAGAGTTGGTATGCTGTAGATAAACACCTCTTCATCATCGGTCTTGAGTTGTCTATTTTCCAATTGAATCTTTCTTCAATTTTGTATAAACTTTATGACCAGTGTAAGAAAAATCGAACCAAAACGGTTAATCAGACATAGGCATGGAAGCGGTGGTTCAACTGACCGAACCGGCAAACCGGGTGGTTCAACCATTCTAATTGGTCAAAAACGTGTTAAAAAATACAAAAAATATAATAAGTATAATTAAAAAATGATTAAACAAAGCACATCCAAATAAAGTTGAAAACAAATAATAAAAAAAAAATAGATTTTAAAAAATTGATTAGTGTCTAGGAGTACTTTTAAATTTTTTTAAAGAATATGAAAAAAATGTAAAAATAAGTATTAACAATCAAAATAATTTCCAATTTTTGCCATAATGATAAAAAACATTAAAAAATGAATTACAAATAAAATCCATTAGTTTTTTAGATTTTATATAATTTTTTTAAAAAATACCTAACCGATCACTAAACCGGCGAAAACCAAAGCGGCCAATGGCCTGTTCCAATCTAACCAGGCAGTTATCGGTTAGATCGCCAGAATTTTCCTTCAATGATTATGACTTTATTCGATTATGTGAACCCTAATCATTACCCAGAAAGACTTTCGTACCCATCTGAGCTGAGTTCGCTAGACACCATGTCTTGATAACCTATTGCCCTTTTCCATCTCACCAGTACCCAACTAGTTGCATATTTTTTCTATGCTACAATTTCTGGGAAAGTAGAAATGAGAAGCCATTAAGCCGGTCTCATACAGTTACCTTGATTTCCACCATTTTTAGACTAAGGCTTTGAGATTTGAGAGCCGTTTCCCATGGCTTATCGCTATCCAAATCTTTCAGGCCCATATAGAAGTTTGAGAGTTTTATCTCTGTCTTCACTTTTCATCCCACCCACCTACCAATATTTGTGATACAATGCCTCAGTTTTGCCCAATAAATATTGATATCCACTGAAACCGTACGCAGTTTCTCTATACTCTATTTCCGTTGATCTAATATTTCGAGATTTTTCTAAGTTTTAGCCAAATTTCTCAAATTTAAATCCAAGTGATAATCATAGTTAGCAAGTCGGGGAATAATAGTATATCAACGAACCAAAATATTCATAATGAATCAGTTTTGTTTCAAAAATTCAAAGGAAAAAATCGGGTAAAAAATACGGATCGCAAAAAAATAAGATAAATTATAGAATCTTTAATATTTCGGATTTATTCTAAAAAAAACGGATATGTAAAGATGACATAATAGATTTGCAGTTATTGTGTAGATACATTAAAGCCATTGAACAATAATTTTATGACCTTGCCTAGTGTCATACTTGACAATTTATCATCTAATCTTTTAATAAATCCATCAACAAGCTTACTCTATTGTCACAACTCACAACACAAAACATAACACAAAATTATTCGGAGCAAAAAATGCTGCAATATTACTTAACGCAATAGAAGCCCTACGTTGTTTATCTATCTATACGGTTACTTTTGCAGCCTATTTATTTCAATTCTCTAGTAACTTTTTTTCTTTTTTAATTGTTTACCATAACTTCGGTTTTATTTTTAATGACCCCCTTTTGTTCTTTCTTTATGTCACTTTCGCATGCACACGTTATACAATATTGGAAATCTTAATATAATAGTTTTGAGCTCAAAAACTATATTATCGTATAATATTGTTAGTTACAATTTCCTATTTTGAGCATAAAATATGTGGCCATCAAAATTGCAAAATACTCCAACCTATCTCTTTATCAATTCAGTGATTGATCCGATCCTAATAACATAATTACGAATAGTTTTGGTTTAGAAAATAAAAATAAAAATAAATAACACTATCATAAATAACTCTAATCGTTACTTGTTTACGTTGGGAGTCATTTATACAAATGTGAGGCCCTAAACAATCAAATTAAGGCACACATCAAAAATTCATAAAAGAAGTTGTATCGATGCTCAAAAATCCTCAAAATGATCATCTCAACCTCAAGATGTATATACATGAGACAAAATGGATTTCAAGTCTTAGAAATAGTGTGTCTTGTAATGTATTTTCAGACTTTCAATTTTCATGTTTTTCAAATATTCATAAATCTACTCGATCTACACTGTTATTTAAGCTTTAAATTTTATAATTAGAGATTAAAATAAATTCTCAAGCCTCACAAAGATTTTCAGTATTAAAACAATATCTTTCAACACTATTTAAAGGTGTGCCTTACTTTGATTATTTAAGGCCTTCGCCTTATAGAAACCACACCCTTTTAGAGAATAACACGAATATTCTCTAACACGAATATTCGACGCACGAGATTCTGCATTATTTTAGGTAGCAAGCAAATGATAAATGAAAATCCCTAATAATATATCTCCCAAACAATAGTAGTCCCACGAAATGGCAATATAAATAAGAGAAAAATATAAATAATGGTGCATATCCTACAAAATAAATGTGGGGTTTAGAATATTCATTTTTTCTTTGTTCAACTTTCAAGTTACATTTACAAAAAGGTACCTTCTCAAAAAATTTGTTTACTCCTATTTCGCATGACAAACACTTAACAATTGGAAGCATTTTAGTAATTTAGATCACTTCAGTATCTTTGGTTGTTTAGGACAAGAAACATGGAATTGCCAAATGAGCAAAGTACTCCCATTTTTATATTGCTATTCCTAAACAACTAGTGATATTTTGGTTAGTTGGCATTTCCATATTTCCAATCCCAACATTAAGGAGTATTTATGTAATATATCTTTAACAACTTATGTGGGCTTAACTCTTAAAGGGGTGTGGTTTGTATAAGTTGAGGCTCTAAATAATCAAAGTAAAGCACATATTCAAATAAGCCTTTGAGAAATGTGGTTTCAATATTGGAAATCTTTGTGATAGCCCTAAAATATATTTTCTTCTCTAATTATAAAATTTAAAGCTTCAAAAATAGTGTAGATCGAGCATATCTATTAAAACTTAAAAATTTAAAAATTGACAGTCCAAAAATACATTACAAGTTGTACTATTTTCAAAACTTGAAATCCATTTTTTTCACATATCCATACATATTGAGGTCGAGATGAACAATTTAAAGATATTTAGGCATCAAAACATCATCTTCTAGTAAAAATTTTTAGGTACACCCTAATTTGATTCTTTAGAGCCTCGCACTTATGTAACTTTTTTTCTTATTAAATTGCCCTTGATTGAACACGATTGCTCACAATAAATAAGAGTAATTTGGAAACTTTTAACAAATGTTTTGTGGGAGACGTTTTGAAATGGAGCTTAGGCCTTATATAATAAAAAATAAAAAAGTAAAGCCTCATCTCAAAAACTTGTATGGAAAATACTTCAAATGTGGGAAATTCCCAAGATGCCTCTGAAATTTGTTTCCACCATTTATTATGAAATTTATATTTTAAAAAATACATATCTTATGAATCTATGAACACTTTAAAATAGACGGTCTAGATAATATGTTACGATAATAATTATTTTTTGTACTTGAAATCCCTTCTTTTTTTTACAACGGACCGGATATCATTTAAAGATTTTCCTATGCCAAAACTATACTTTTTTATGGGCCTATACTTCCTTTTGTCTATAAAGTCTTGCCCTTATTTTAACCTTTTCTAAAAGCAAATGGTGTAGTGAAAAATTGGATATTTTCAGTCCCGTATTAATTTTGTAAAATAATACAATCCCTTCATTGATATTTTGCAGGAAATAGGATTACCATAATCCACACGCGTGTGGCGTGGTATGGTAAATGGAGGTTTGATGCTCAAGTTGGTGATATGTACCATACACTCGTCCTTTTTTTTTTTCTTTTTTTATTTGGGTACGTTAGTGGAGAAGAAGGCCTCTACCTGTTTTTTATTAGTATTTTAAAATAAAGATAATTACAACTCATTTTTTTATAACCCTGATTTAAAAGAGATATAGCCTTCTATACAAGAATATCAACCACTATGTTGGACTCACAAAAAATGTGGAAGCAGGACCATCGATGATTAGAAAGTAGTTGGGACCATCGATGATTAGAAAGTAGTTGTCTACAATTTGCTGCCATCGTATATAACTTCCAAAAAGGTCGACAATGTTCATGAATAATATCAACGAGCAAAACCTGAATCACTTTCAATCTGAAGAGAGAAAAAAATTAGCTGAACGGCTAAAACCAAACCCTTTTCAAGAGCACATAAACGGACTTCAATGAAAAGAGAATTCAAATGATACTGCGAAATGATATATGTGAAAAAAACTAATGTCCTAAACTTGAACAAAGACGGTTGAACTTTTAACAAAGAGATCTAAATGCTTAACAACTCGAAATTTACTTTTCCTGATAATCCCATATTTGAGACAAAAAATTAAGTGGATCCAAAATTTTCGAAAAAAAAAAATATTTCTTAGCAGCTCTTTGTTTTTTGGTAAGTTAGTGGGGAGAAGCCCCCTACCCATTTTTTATTATATAAAAATAGAGAAGATATACATTATAGTGTTACAATCCTATCATAGGATAACTGAGCCAAGAGTTAAAGACAAAGAAATGAAATATAACAGTCTAGCACGCATAAAAAAACCACACTTTTCTCACTAGCTCTTTCACATAAGGGAGTAAATGCACAGTATGTTCGGGCCGAAAATAGTGGACGGCAACGTAAAAAAGCATCTCAAAAAGCTAACATGCGAAAGACTATTGTACTTAAAATCACTGTTCAAAAAGAAATGACTCAATTAGACACTTATTTCCCTTTCAAAGCTACAATTCACTATTTATGTCCAAACCACCCTTGGCCCCCCTAGAACTTTATTTTTATTCTTTTCCCTTAAATTGAAGATCCATATGTACTATTTAAATTAATAGATTCATTTACTTATTTACAAAAGTCACAAAAACTCTTAGTCCTAAGAAGTGAAATTTGACACTCATAAAGCTTTCCCTTTCACAGCTACAATTCACTATTTATGTCCAAACCACCCTTGGCGCCCCTAGAACTTTATTTTTATTCTTTTCCCTTAAATTGAAGATCCATATGTACTATTTAAATTAATAGATTCATTTACTTATTTACAAAAGTCACAAAAACTCTTAGTCCTAAGAAGTGAAATTTGACACTCATAAAGCTTGAGAATATTACTTTTATAAAATCAATTATTAATATTATTTTATTTCTAATAGTTAAAGATGATTGTGACTTCCTTCTATCGAAGATAAGTTATCTTAATATAGTTTTTCTCTGAATTAAATATAAAGCAAAACAATAAGTTGTTTTTTTAGATTTTTTTTTTTTTTGAGTAAGCACGCGTGTTTTATTAAGGTGATGAAAAGTAACAAAGAAAATAAAAAAAGAGAAAATAAAAGAACCGATTTTTTTTTTTTCCTAAAATAATTGATGCAGCCCTTGTTTGTAGAAATGAGAAAGAGAGCTCGTTATTCACATGTGCCTGGTGTGGCTGACCTTCTTTAAAAAGGTGTGGTTTTGAGGTGAGACCCAACCGACTTTCATTTATTTTTGTTTTCTTTCTCTTTCTACCATGACTTTATTTCAAATAAACGGCACCGGCCACCGCCTCTCCATCCCCACTTCCCCTACTATTAATAATAATTAAGTCACTGTAATCACCTTTTAAGAACATATGTACATGCATTTAATCAATCCAATCCATTATTTATATGAAAATTTATATTCACTCCAACACGTTCGGTAGGCCAAATATCATCATTTCTTCCTCATATCATTGGCGAAGTGGTTAGTACTACCAAGCTATATAGTATATAGTATATAGTATATTCATATCATATTGTTTGGGGTGCTCTATTGTTTGGGGTGCTCTTTTTATAGTGCTGAGGCTCTAAACCATCGTACTTTCAAATAGTGTGAAGAAATGTAGTTTTAATATTGGAAATCTTTGTGATCGCCGTAAAATATTTTTTATATTGAATTATAAGATTTAAAGCTTAAAAAATAGTGTAGATCGAATAAATTTATAAAACCTTGAAAATTGACGGTGCATTATTTCCAAAACATGAAAGCTATTTTTTTCTCATGTGGATGTATCTTGAAGTTGAGACGTTTAATTTGAAGATATTTGAGCATCAAAACAATCTCTAGTAAAAAATTTGAGATGGGCACTAATTTGATTGTTTAGAACCTCAGTTCTATATAAATTTTTCCCTAGATCAATAGTTGCTCTTTATGCTTGATTTGGCACTCTAGAGAGAGAAACTGAGGCCAAATCCAATATTAATTTCTTAATTTGGCAACTACTTCTATGTTGCGGTAAAGATAATATAAAGAATAGATATTTAGTGCTTTTGTGTTAGAGGGAGAGTGGGCCCACAGCTCACATGGTAGCCACGCAGTAGGTACCGCAAGCCAAGCTGTCGACGGCACTAAATCCAGGACTAATCCCGAGCCCTGCGCCCCGCGTACGAACCCCATCTACCATTACATCCTCTCTTGATATATGAGAGAGAGAGCGAGCTCTCTTGTTAAGGATATAAGATTTAGGGCTGGCAACGGGCCGGGGTATCAGACGCGGCCCTAACTGGACACAAGCCCAACCCCATCTTTATTAGGGCCGGCCCGGCGGGCCAGATAAAAATGATAGTATATTTTATTTTTTTAAAACTACTTGTATGTATTTCAAAATAACCGTATGTGTTTTGTAGTTTTTTTCTCTGAGCTACATTTTGTAGGCAGGCAAAGTAAAGTTGTAGTTTTTAATTGAAATGTGGATTCAATATGTCTCTCTATGTTAAAATTTAGGTTTGCAACTCTCTCATTACACTTTTTAGTGGACTCATCTCTCTTTTCGTTTTTATATATTTCTCTCTTACAAAATCATAGGAATCTGATGTTTAGCCTGTGGGTTCCAAACTCTCTCAACAAACCCTTCTAATCCAGATAACATAATAGTGGACGCATTTTTTTCTATTCGTATTTTTTTCTCTCTTTTTAAGTCATCATAAAAATTTAATATTTAATATGTGGGTTCTAAACTCGAGTACAAACAGCTTTAGAACATAAAAAAAGACATCTTTGTTTTTCTCTATCTCGATAATAAATTGTTTTTTTTTTATGCACGTCAAATACCATATTGAAACTGAACTAATATCGTCTTGATATAATGTAAAGGGATAAGAATATCAACATTTCAAGATAGAAAAAGTGTTATAGTGCATATAACATTTAATGAGACAAAAAAAAAAAACAAGAGATAAGGATTCCAACAATGAAAATTTTATAGTCCTCGTGCCAAAATTCAAATTTAACCCACTGGCCAACAGCAAACGGGCACACAGGCTCCGTGTCCCTCATCTCAGATTCCCGACCACATGGATAACGACAACGCATCACAACACGCGAAAAGCCTCTTTATACCTCAATTAACAAATCATTAGTTCTTAAGAAGTGGTTTAAGTTCCCTAAGTCCCTATTAATCCCCCACTACTAATTTCCACATTAGTTTACTATTAACAAGTGTTTGATCCAATGGTTTAAAAAACGGATCAGTGACCCGGATTGGGCTTCCAAAAAACCGATCCGGATCGGTGAATTGGAGATTCGGATCTGGAATCGGGTGAATCGTTCAGAATAAAGCTTAAAAAAAATCCGAAAAAATTATTAAAATTCATTATAAATATTATTTTTTAGGAATTCAATAAGAAATGAGGGTACTCCATTAAGAATTTTCATGTTTTTGAATGAATATGCGAATATTGATATGTTCTTTCCCTGCATGAACCGCCATTCAGCATTTAATTTACATCACACAAAAGGATAAACATATAATTATCATGGAATAAATATATCAACATACATGGACTACAATAAAGCATAAAATTAGTAACATATGATCTAAAAATAAAATGATACACGACGTTATTGTTCTTCGTGGTCACGCTGGTGCCATTGATTGAATTCGTTTAACAATTCATTGATTCGATCTAAAAACGAATCATCGATATTAGCAGGCGTCTAACTATTCCCAAATCCCTGAGTGTTAGTGTTTTGTTGTGTTCCTAATCTAAAATCCCCGAAGATTGTCAATCCTTCATGCTCACCTGCACTGTCGTGCTCATTCCCTACACTGTTGCTGTTGGGACTCGATATGTGAATAATATGGCTGGGATAGGGTAGCCTCAGAATCATCATCTCTCTCATTTTCTCTTTGAATAATATGGATTAAAAAAAAAAAAACAAATTTTCAAAAAAATCGATCATGGATTAAAAAAAACAATCACAAATTTCAAAAATTCTATCATGATTACAAAAAAAATTCGATCATGATAAAAAAAAAACTCACAAATTTCAAAAATCTATCAT